ACATTATAGCAGCCATATTCGTTGGTTTCTAGTGCTGTTCAAACATGGCCGATCTTTCATAATTGCGATACAACAAATAATTTCACCCATAAAGTAATTTCTGTCTCCGATACCAGATGTCTAGATATTATTGTTTGTGTATGGTCGTTGTTTGTGTTCAAATCCATATAAAACATAAATCAGAGCCGGGAGCAAGAATGTGTCTCTATCAGAACTGGACGTGTATCGTAAGCTAAATAAATTTTTTAGAGTGCCTGTGATTGTTTCGCATTTTTTCAATTACGTTCATTCCTCATGGTTGAGGTTTTATAATCAACCCATATAGATGTGTCGGGTTCCCAACAGAAGAGAATGGGTGCGGCGGGAAGTATTACTAATCTGCAAATACGAATAGATGTTTTCATAGCACAAAAACAACACGGAATACTGAATTCTGACATTTTAAAAGCACTTTCAGTGTTGTTTTATATGTCCACTGTGTTTTTTTTCATCAGCTATTCATACTGATAAATGCATAACAGGGTTAACAATATGCGTTTTTTTTTTTTTTTTTTCTTTTTCAGCCAAGATTATTGTTCCCCCTCTTGCGCTTCTCGAATGGCTTTAGTGATGATTTGTTCATCTTTGTGCCAGATATAGGTTCGTTCTTTCTTGGTCTTCTTGTCGCCTTCCGCTCAGATGTTGTGCTGTAGGTCTCATAGACAGTTTGGTCTAGCTGCATTCTTAGTAGATGGCCAAACCATTTCATATATACTTTATGTCTATGTAAATGAGGCAAGCTCTTGTGACAAGCTTCTCTCTAATAATTTATTATTTTTGTGATCATGTCATTTCTTGTCAAGGTCATCTTTTGAAGCCAGTACATTTCATTGATCGTTATATTCTGTAGCTCATTATCCATGTTCAACATTGACAGGACAAACTGGGGATGAAGGTGTTCTTAGTCATTTCCTGTTTGACTGGAGAGTTGACATTTTTGGTTTCTGGCGGTGGGGCATAGATAATAGATGAGAGCATTTGCTTTCTGGACTGTGCTTTCTTTGAACAGTTTTCTTTTTCGTTCCCCCTCCTCTTGCTCCTTTTTCTTTTTCTTCTTCTTTATTCTTCTTCTTCTTCTTCTTCTTCTTCTTCTTCTTCTTCTTCTTCTTCTTCTTCTTCTTCTTCTTCTTCTTCTTCTTCTTCTTCTTCTTCTTCTTCTTCTTCTTCTTCTTCTTCTTCTTCTTCTTCTTCTTCTTCTTCTTCTTCTTCTTCTTCTTTCTTCTTCTTCTTCTTCTTCTTCTTCTTCTTCTTCTTCTTCTTCATTTCTTCTTCGGTCTTCTTCTTCTTCTTCTCTTCTTCTTCTTCTTCTTCTTCTTCTTCTTCTTCTTCTTCTTCTTCTTCTTCTTTTTCTTTATCCTTTTCCTACTCCTACTTCATCCTTGTTTTTTTTTCTTCATCGTCATCATCATTTATCACCATCATCTTCTTTGTTAACTTCTTCTCCGTTCGCCCTTAACAGAGATGGTGGCACGTTATGTTTTTGTTACAGCCAGGCTGCGATATTTACGCCTTTACCCAAAATATCCGAGTCAGCAAACCTCTAACTGGTCGACAAAATGCAACATGCTTACGGGGGTGCGGGGGTGTCAGTGGTTCAAACAGCCCCCCCATCCCCTGTTATTTTCCCTCCTTTTTTGAGTCATGGAACACACAGAAAATAATAAATATGAGACACGTTTATGTACACAACAGGTCATAACTGTAGACAGTGATGCATCTAAGTCAAGTAGATACTTGACTTACACAACAGGTCATAACTGTGGACAGTGATACATCTAAGTCAAGTAGATACTTGACTTACACAACAGGTCATAACTGTGGACAGTGATACATCTAAGTCAAGTAGATACTTGACTTACACAACAGGTCATAACTGTGGACAGTGATACATCTAAGTCAAGTAGATACTTGACTTACACAACAGGTCATAACTGTAGACAGTGATACATCTAAGTCAAGTAGATACTTGACTTACACAACAGGTCATAACTGTGGACAGTGATACATCTAAGTCAAGTAGATACTTGACTTACACAACAGGTCATAACTGTAGACAGTGATACATCTAAGTCAAGTAGATAGTTGACTTACACAACAGGTCATAACTGTGGACAGTGATACATCTAAGTCAAGTAGATACTTGACTTACACAACAAACACCGAGACACGATCAGAGAGAAGGGAAACATCCTCACAAACAAGATATAGACCTGATAAACAAGGCTCAATCAAGGGAATAATTAGGGCTATTTGTGAATCAGGCAAACCTTTCAAATCGATATCTTTCCCTGGTTCATTTAAAGTGTCTGTTTTTTTTAATGATTTTAAATGATTTTAGTGTGTCTGTTTCTCTGTGTAGCCTGGCGTTACGCTGCTTTATGTTGTTGTTGTTGTATGCTGCTATATGTTGGATGACATTGTTGAATGTTGATGTTGCCTACGTTGCAATCTTTGTAATTGTAGTTCTGCGTGTAACTGTAGTTCTCTGTTGCTCTAGTTCTATTTAACCACAGTTCGATGGTGCTCTATTTCTATGAATAGTTTTGTGCTGCTAAGTTTTAAGTGTCTTTTTTTTTTTCTACTCTAACTTTAAATCACTGTAGCTTATTGTTCATGCAGTTTTATATTGCTGTCGTTTCAAGTTCGTTAATTTGGTTCCATGTTACTGTAGTTGCATTTTCCTGTCATAATGGTATAGTTCCATGTTACTGTCTCTCTTCTTTTAGTTCTGTGTTGTTGTTCCTATTGTAGTAGTTCTATGGTGCTGTTTCTCTTCTATTAGTTCTGTGTTGATGTTCCCGTTGTAGTAGTTCTATGGTGCTGTTTCTCTTCTATTAGTTCTGTGTTGATGTTCCCGTTGTAGTAGTTCTATGGTGCTGTTTCTCTTCTATTAGTTCTGTGTTGATGTTCCTATTGTAGTAGTTCTATGGTGCTGTTTCTCTTCTATTAGTTCTGTGTTGATGTTCCTATTGTAGTAGTTCTATGGTGCTGTTTCTCTTCTATTAGTTCTGTGTTGATGTTCCTATTGTAGTAGTTCTATGGTGCTGTTTCTCTTCTATTAGTTCTGTGTTGATGTTCCTATTGTAGTAGTTCTATGGTGCTGTTTCTCTTCTTTTAGTTCTGTGTTGATGTTCCTATTGTAGTAGTTCTATGGTGCTGTTTGTCTTCTATTAGTTCTGTGTTGATGTTCCTATTGTAGTAGTTTTATGGTGCTGTTTCTCTTCTATTAGTTCTGTGTTGATGTTTCTATAGTAGTAGTTCTATGGTGCTGTTTCTCTTCTATTAGTTCTGTGTTGATGTTCCTATTGTAGTAGTTCTATGGTGCTGTTTCTCTTCTTTTAGTTCTGTGTTGATGTTCCTATTGTAGTAGTTCTATGGTGCTGTTTCTCTTCTATTAGTTCTGTGTTGTTGTCTCTGTTGTAGTAGTTTTCTGCGTTACCGTAGTTCTCTGCTGCTTTTTCTCTCAAGCTGTGGTTATCTGTTGTTATAGCTGTAAATCTAAATAGTTGTAGCTGAAGTTCTATGTTGCTCTAGACGTGGATCTACATTGCTGTAGTTGCAGTTCACTGGGGCTGTAGATGTAAATCTAAATTGTTGTAGCTGAAGTTCTATGTTGCTGTAGATGTAAATCTAAATACTTGTGTCTGAAGTTCAATATTGCTTTAATTATAGGTCTAAAGTGTTATAGTTGTAGTTCATTGAGGCTGTCGTTGTAAATCTGAATTGTTGTAGCTGAAGTTCTATGTTGCTGTAGATGTAATTCTAAATTGTTGTTGTTTTCGGGTGTCTGCACCGTGCAGTAGGTTTGAGTGCACATTACATTTTATAATTCACATTTTTTAAGTTTTTATTTTATTGTTATTTTTTTTTTAAATCTTCCTAACTATCAATAATTTTCGGCAGCGTATCGTTGTGTAACAATATCGAAATGAGGGTCGATCAGTTTAGAAAGCAGTGGCAAACTATTTAACATAAATGTGCCAAACACAACCACAAATCGGCCGATAGATACCGAGGTTATTTTGGCGACGTCCTAAAAATAAAATGGCGACTAACTTTAAACAAGGCAGCCATTGACGGTACTGATCATCCACGTCAAATATCAATGAAGTCTCAAGGTTCAAAGTCCAACAGGTATACTGCATTTCGCTGCGTCTCTCTCTGTCTGTCTCTCTGTCTGTCTGTCTGTCTGTCTGTCTCTTTCTCTCTCTCTCTCTCTCTTTCTCTCTCTCTCTCTGTCTGTCTCTCTGTCTGTCTCTTTGTCTGTCTCTCTGTCTGTCTGTCTGTCTCTTTCTCTCTCTCTCTTTCTCTCTCTCTCTCTCTCTCTCTCTCTCTCGCTATATATATATATATAGCGGTTAGTTGCATATCCTTTACAGGACGTTGCAGAATCAACTCCAGTATTTTTTTTATAGCTGTTGTGGTTATTTTAGGCAAGATTACCTCCAGTAGTTTGCCATTGCTTTATGGACGGCCAGCTTCTCCATACCTCTGTCACAACCAACGCAAGTTACAAAGCTGGATTCGAACCCGGTAACCAGGCATTTCGAAGCGCGTTCGTAACGTCTAAACCACAGTTTCCGACATATATATATATATATATATATATATATATATATATATTTATATATATATATATATATATATATATATATATATATATATATATATCTTTTTGTTCCTTGCCTATCGAGATCTTTACACAGAGCATGAATGTAGCTCCAGCTACGATCCCCAAAGATCTACGTAGACATTGTATTCGTGAACCAATTGACACAATCTGTAACATTAACACACGTACGGCCTTCAAAATGCGAGATAAACCACTGGTTCTCCACACCACGGAGAACCGCGAAATGTTACAGTAATTTGCATGATGATTCAAGACGCTGCATTTAGTATTTCAGTATCCATGGATGCAGAGATACAAGTTATCAACTAGACTCTTTTCACTTTCACAGAGCCTCAGATCAGACCTGAACGGAAGCGCTTCCGTCTGCGCAGAGCATCAGAACAAGCGATTTTTGGCAGCCCCCGGAAGGTGAAGGACAACAGGGATACCCGGTCTGTGACCTGCAGCCTAGAAACAGGTATGGCTACAATATTTGAGAACAACCAATTTCTTCTTCTTCTTCTTCTTCTTCTTCTTCTTCTTCTTCTTCTTCTTCTTCTTCTTCTTCTTCTTCTTCTTCTTCTTCTTCTTCTTCTTCTTCTTCTTCTTCTTCTTCTTCTTCTTCTTCTTCTTCTTCTTCTTCTTCTTCTTCTGCTTCTTCTTCTTTTTTCTTTTCCTTCTTCTTCTTTTTTCTTTCCTCTTCTTCTTCTTCTTCTTCTTCTTCTTCTTCTTCTTCTTCTTCTTCTTCTTCTTCTTCTTCTTCTTCTTCTTCTTCTTCTTCTTCTTCTTCTTCTTCTTCTTCTTCTTCTTCTTCTTCCTTTTCTTCTTCTTCTTTAATTTTTGTTGAACCCTTGAGTTCGTTAGACAGGCCAACACTGTCAGGAGGCAGCCTAACTAACGAGCAGATAGAGAACCCTTGAGTTTGGATGGAATTAAGCTGCATAACTGGAGAATCTGGGATCATGTGACTTTGCGCCTGCCTTAAAAAGAGGATCTGGGATCATATGATTGTGCTTGAACACGTCTGCATTTAGTAGAAAATCTGGGATCATGTGACCTTGAATGGGATGCAACTTTATTATGGAGGTAGAGGCAGTAATGCCAGATTGCCGATGTCTTGAGAACAACACAGTCTGACAGGTAGTTGTAAACGGTCTCAGATATAATTCATTGTTCTGTTGTGCTATTTTATGTGATATAGGGTTCACAGCCTATTTGTGTGCAGTCATTTCAATTGAGAACACGCGGACTTTGTATCAAGTTGCAACTGCAACTATTAGCATTTCAACTCTTGGTTAGCTACCGGAGAAGGGGACGGAGCACGGGCGGGAATGTCTTGAGTCCAGTGATGACCGTTCCGAATTCATGTATTTGTTGTTTGGTTCATACAACTTCAATAGCAGACCATTTGGAATCTCATAAATGTGGGTGGCATAAATCTGCAAAAATAGCGAATCGTGGATCCTGTGACCTCGGATGGAATAAATCTACATCAAAAACGGAGTCTTAAATCTATTAAACTTGAGTTGAAATCAATCTTTACAGTTAGTGACCTTCGGAGTCCATAAACTTGGGCGGATCAGTCTACATTAAAAATCTATTAAACTTGACTTGAAATCAATTTACACAGTTAGTGACCTTTGGAGCCCATAGACTCGGCTGGCTCAAATTACATCAAAAATCTATTAAACTTGACTTGAAATCAATCTATCTACACAGTTAGTGACCCTTGGAGCCCATAAACTCAGGTGTATCAATCTACACAATTAGAGGGTCTTGGGTCCCAATCCTATACATTTTACTGGAATGCATCTACATCAACAGAGAACCTTGTATGTTATAAACCTGGTCAGGATAAATCTACATGACTGGTAAACTGTGGATCCCGTAATATGAGGTAGGATCAGTCTGCTGTGTTTAGGAACCCTGTATGCTATAAACCTGGTCAGGATAAATCTTTATGTTTGGTAAACTGTGGATTTAAGGTGGCACCAGTCTGCTGTGTTTGGGAACCTTATATGCTATAAACCTGGTCAGGATAAATCTATATGTTTGGTAAACTGTGGATATAAGGTGGTACCATCTTTATGTTGGTCAGGTAAATCTGTGGATAAGGTGGCACCAGGTGCTGTGTTTGGGAACCTTGTCTGCTATAAACCTGGTGATAAATCTATATGTTTGGTTGGGATATAAGGTGGCATCACCTTTACCTTGTATGCTATAAACCTGGTCAGGATAAATCTATATGTTTGGTAAACTGTGGATATAAGGTGGCACCAGTCTGCTGTGTTTGGGAACCTTGTATGCTATAAACCTGGTCAGGATAAATCTATATGTTTTTGTATGTAAACTGGTCAGGATAAATATAACCTTGTGGCATCAGTCTGCTGTGTTTGGGAACCTTGTATGCTATAAACCTGGTCAGGATAAATCTATATGTTTGGTAAACTGTGGATATAAGGTGACATCAAACCTGTCTGTGTTTGGTAAACTGTTGTGATGTTTAGCTATAAACCTGTCAGGATAATTCTTCTATAAACCTGGTCAGGATAAATCTATATGTTTGGTAAACTGTGGATATAAGGTAAACTGTAGATATAAGGTGTGATCAGTCTGCTGTGTTTGGGAACCTTGTATGCTATAAACCTGGTCAGGATAAATCTATATGTTTGGTAAACTGTGGATATAAGGTGACATCAGTCTGCTGTGTTTGGGAACCTTGTATGCTATAAACCTGGTCAGGATAAATCTATATGTTTGGTAAACTGTAGATATAAGGTGGCATCAGTCTGCTGTGTTTGGGGACCTTGTATCCCATGAACTTCGGTTGATCAATCTACATTTTAGACCGCTGAAAGCAATCTCGGATATAGCGAATTGTGTGTGTGTGAAGAACACTTTGTTTACCCCCTACCGTTTTTCTTGCTGAAACTCTTAACCAGATTTCCTTTTCTTATCCAATGTGCTCGGTATACGTCTGGCTATCATCACCTCATGACCTGCTAGAGCGGTACATAACTTGATGTGGCCTTGTTTAAGCATGAAGTAATATAAAGTACTCTTTTCCACACCTTCTGGCGTATTGGGCATATAGGGCTAGACCTGTATATTTTATAGACCAAACAGTAGTCGGTGGGAGATGTGGTCTGCCACTGCGGCCTATTTACTTACCAGCATTGTTCAGCCTCAGAATGAAAAAGAAGTAAACAAGGGGCAAGTTGGGGGGAGGGGGATTGTCTTTTTCGTGCTCGAATTTCTTCATCCCTGTCACGTGACGTGAGCATTTGTGTATCCACATTATCTGGGGAAAACTGCTCCGATTCCAAGCGGACGTTTTTTCTTCTTCCGCGAGGTGAATAAGTTCGTCGTCTGTCACATCAACTGATCCCCTGTGTGCAGACCGTTCATTTATCCAGACACCCGCTCTAAGCCAGACTGACACTTTGTGCCAGCAAGGGAAATATTCCCGTGTGTACAGGGACATTTTCAAATTCACGCCAGTTTTTCGTCTTTTTTTTACTTTTTTTTTTAAATTTTTTTATGTGCGTCCTTGAAGATTTTATCCAGTGAACATCGACTTTTTCATGTTGGTTAGACAGGACACAAACACAGTCAAATACAGAACTTCGGAAGAGACTTAAATAAGTCAAAAAATTGTACCCCACCAGGACATCACCCAAGCGATAAACATCATGTGACACAAAGTGCCACCATGCGGAGGTGGATCACCCATGGAGAGGTCCCAGAAACCCCGTTCAGACGTTTAGGTCATATTTATGGTCCGACTATATTTAGGGCCCCCGGCAAAAGCCAGGGTGTGGCTTGAAATAACAGTAAATTACATCCCACATGGAACGACAAGGTGTGCGAAGAGACTTGAAATTTAAAAAAAAAAATGTTAATGAGGGAGATTTTAAAAAGAGTCAGTTGAGACATGTCCATCTATATTAAAGGTAGACGGTGATCTTCACCAGCATCTATCAGTTTGTATGTTGATACCCTTCCATGCCATGACAAAAGGTGTATGTTGTGTGTTTGTGCGCGCGTGTGTGTGTGTGTTGTCATCAGATCATTACAGTTATTATTATTATTGTTAACGTAAACAATGGCCAAGTCCCTTGTGGTCTCACTCTCCTCGTATCCCCTACCTCCGTGTTTTCTTTGTGACGACGCCCCTCCTACAAATTGACCGCTAGCAGTAATATTATGATTGCTGAAGTAAACAATGCTTAAGTCCCTTGTAGTTCCACTCTTCTCCCAACCCCCGCCTCTGTGTTTTTTGTGTGGTGGCGCCCCTGCTAAAAACTAGCCGCTATGGTTAGTTGGAGGGTTCGAATCTGTAGCATTCAGTATTTCCAGTGTGTAGTGTGTTCTACTGTATCTACTGCCTTCCTCCCACGAATCCACACGTTATGGCCTATACCCCAGGGGAGTGAGTCTACCTGCTTTGTGATAAAACAGTTTGCCTCAAGCTCTGGGTTAAAGATTCTGTTTCACATTTCGTCTTTCGGTTTCTCGGATCAAAGTTTCGGAGATCACTAGGGGTCGTCGCTGAAGCTGCGGAGCTCATGCTTGTACAAAGTTCCCGCCGAGCAACCACAGCTCTTAAAGAGAGATCAAGCTATGCAGGGCAACACTTGTTTCTATAAAGTCCATCCTTGATAATATCTTTATCTTGTTCTCCTCCTGCTCTGTCTTCTTCTTCTTCTTCTTCTTCTTCTTCTTCTTCTTCTTCTTCTTCTTCTTCTTCTTCTTCTTCTTCTTCTTCATCTTCTTCTTCTTCTTCTTCTTCTTCTTCTTCTTCTTCTTCTTCTTCTTCTTCTTCTTCTTCTTCTTCTTCTTCTTCTTCTTCTTCTTCTTCTTCTTCTTCTTCTTCGTTAACTTTTTCTTCGGATAAGGTGGACGTTTTGCATCTAAAGTATATTGTCTCCTGTAGCAACCGTTTCCTATAACAGCCCTGCACTATGTCCTCACCAAGAATGTGAGTGAAAGAGATTCTACCTCAGTCAACTGGCCTAACTGGCATGCAAATCAGGGCCTATTATTTTTATAGACCACTCGGTACTGTTCGCGACATGTTGGCAAATTTAGTCCTTTACTTCCCTGACATTTCCCTTGTCCCTGTTTAGGCATCATCAAGTATGGCCATGCTTGAAAGTGTGCTCGCTCGTTCTTTCTTACATCTTGCTATTCCTGTCGCATAAGTCCCAGCAGATGTATTTTTATGGTTGTCTCCCTTTGTTAATGATTCTGGCATAAATCGTCGAGTTGTGTGATCTTGGATTCCCCACAAAATGGAGATTGTCTCCAGATCATTCGTGTAGCTGCCCGATTGTCATTCCAATCTTGGCCTGATTATCATCCTTGTCAATACAACTGATGGCAATTTACATTGGGCTCTTTTTTTTGTTTTCTCATCGCATAAGTTTGGGCGGTTAGATTCTGTCGCTGTAGTTTTTGTATATATTGTTTGTTTTGTTTTGACTGTGTGTGTGTGTTTATATATATATCATGGAATCAAGGCCGAGGGTTGCAATATCCATAGTATTGAGCTACAGGGTTAACATGGTTTTTTGGATATTTAATATATGTAGCTCGTAACTGCGTTCATTGAACATGCTCGTGTCATAGTGGTGTCATGTAGTGACCAGTATGTACAATAGCACGTGCTAATCGTCCCAGTATATATAGTTTGTTTCTGATCGTTAAGAAAAGCCGGTTTCATCCAAAATTCCTCTGGGAAAAAAAAGCAGCACAAAGAGCGGTTACACGGTTTCTTCTATTTGAAGGAAGTCTACGAGTGGACATTCATGGCAGAACGTAAGCAACTTACGTTAATAAATGTGTATAGAAGACAACAGTGACTGGGCAGAAGTATTTCAGAAAGGATGTGGGTTCATGACAAATCTTCTACGACCGGGTCAAAGACATATTGTTGAAACAGAAAAAAACATCGCCAAAATTGATGCAATTTTATGTGGTAATTTGAACTCTTTAAAATGTTGCTTGTGAGAGAAATTAGAAAGCGTGTTTAGAATGGGTACCACGGAGGCTGATCGACCAGCCAATGTAAAGAATGGTCTTTGAATCCCTTCCCTAGCCGTCACAGAGCAGTGGCTGGTGCATTTCTCTTCCGCATAGTGTCCCTTTACATGAGCTAAGCACTTGGGGCAAAGAATACTTTAATTTCGCAGACCTTACAACTGTAATCACTACTAACGAAATCATTCTGACCAGACTGTAATGATCTGTTCATTCCTCCGCCTTGTTCACTTGCCCCCAACAGTGACTTGGCTAAATGTAGCTTGTCGTGCATACATTCACCACCCACTGGCACAGAACCAGCCACTGGCACAGAACCAGCCACTGGCACAGAACCACCCACTGGCACAGAACCAGCCAGTCTGTTTGCCAATTTATTGTTCAACACCCCTCCCTCCTTAGTTGAAAAGCAAAAATGGAAGGAAGAAAGAAGAGAGCACGAGACTTGGCAGACTTACTTAGGGTAGTGTCGTAGTACTCAGACAATGGCTCACATATTGGTCGGAAAGATATAAATGTTCATGTGTTTACATCACAATATCTTGTGTATCCCGTCATAAATTATTGTGATGAACATCACATACTTCTGTATATTACATCTCACCCAAATGTGTAGTGTGTCATCAACTTATATGTATTATAAATTGTAAATATTATTTATCATCATCGCTGAGTATTATTTTAGTCGGCGCATATTATCTGTTCATATATATATATATATATATATATATATATATATATATATATATATATATATATATATATAATTAAAAGAGAGACACTGGAAAACATGGTGACAACTGGAAAGATTAGTGAAGAGAGAGGTAGAGGCAGACCAAGAGAGATGATGCTGGATGGGCTAAAACGATGGCATGGAGGGATATCATCAAGAGAGCTGTTCCAGGCGACCAGGGATCGTGATCTTTGGAGATGCACGAGCTCCTACGCCTACTGGCAAAGCACATGATGATGCTGATGATGAATATACGACGTTTTTCTCAGCGTTCACCAGCTGTAAACTCTGAGAGAAATTGCTGGTTGTTCATCCACTTCTGGACCTTGGTCTTGTTCTGGAACTTGAGTTTTGTTTGCATGTTTAACATATCTGGCAGACTGTTGGTTTCTCGCCTCGCAGGCAATGTCTGTTAAGTCAAAAACAATTGAGCATTACCTCATAGCCTATCATTTATTGCATTTCCAACTGCATCACATGCCCATATGTATAACATCTCAAATTCTGGTAAATTTTACGCTAGTCTTCTCATTTACACATCGGTACACACTAGCTCGCTTGTGATTGGAGGACCTGCTGACCACCTCACTCCTGATAGGTCGGCCTCGAGCGATCCGACTTTCACACAAGGTCACGGGGATATTCCGCACTCGCGCTGATACCGTGTGTTGTATATTTCACCATGCCAGCGCTTTTAACACTTCCCCCCAACCAGAGAGTGACAAAACCTATGTCACAGGCCGTCTCTTTCTCGGAAATAAAAACTGAAATGCCAGACAACAACAGACTGCGACACCTATAACCTCGACCACGGTAGACTAGTCCAACCAACATATCAATGGAGTTGACATACAACTGGTGATATGTAAATGGGAAGACCATAGTACAAATAACCCAAATTCTTGTGTATAACACCACAAACTCTTGTGTATAACGTCACAACATGTTTATGTACGCTTCCACACATTTTATGCATACTTGTCCGCTTTGACCATTCAGTTCCTGTTTAAACACCTGTTAACCAGTTAGTGTTCTGCTTCTTTGCTCGCCAGGTAGACGCAAACTGAAGGTCAGACACATTGAAGTGGACGACAGCTCGGACACATCATGGGAAGACAACTGGCTCGACGAGACGGAGTCCCTCTTATAGACATTCCCTTCGTTCAGAACCCAGTCAGAATACTACAGAACCCTGTCTGCAGGTGAACGTCGTGGCTTGAGGGATCAGTCACAGCAACTGGAGTCTATGATAAGCAGTATTCCTAGGGAGTGTCTAAGGAAACTGTAACTCGGAACTCAACAAGACAGGCTGATCATTCCGTGATTGTACCGTGTCTGGTGTGCACACGGACACTAGAGGTCTGAGATCAGATGAATGACTTACTTTCACTGCGCAGTGTCCAACACCTTACTTTTACTGCGCCGTGTCCGACATCTAACTTTTACTGCGCAGTGTCCAACACCTTACTTTCACTGCGCAGTGTCCGACACCTTACTTTCACTGTCCAGTGTCCAACACCTTACTTTCGCTGCCCAGTGTCCAACACCTTACTTTCGCTGCCCAGTGTCCGACACCTTACTTTCACTGCGTAGTGTCCAACACCTTAATTTCGCTGCCCAGTGTCCAACATCTTACTTTCGCTGCCCAGTGTCCAACACCTTACTTTCACTGCGCAGTGTCCGACACCTTACTTTCACTGCGTAGTGTCCAACACCTTACTTTCACTGCCCAGTGTCCAACACCTTACTTTCACTGCGCAGTGTCTGACACCTTACTTTCACTGCGCAGTGTCCAACACCTTACTTTCACTGCACAATGTCTAACACCTTACTTTCGCTGCGCAGTGTTTAACAGCTATGTTTTTCACTGCTACAAGAGGAAAAATGACACAGGAAAGACACAGAAGTGTCGCTGTGCTAACACGTGATGCACGCTAGACACAAGAATGTCACTTGGGTAACACAGAAGCGAACACTAGTGTCACTTGGGTAATACAGGGGCGAACACTAGTGTCACTTGGGTAATACAGGGGCGAACACTAGTGTCACTTGGGTAATATAGGGGCGAACACTAGTGTCACTTGGGTAATACAGGGACGAACACTAGTGTCACTTGGGTAATACAGGGGAAACTCAGGAGTGTCACTGTAGTGATACAGAGGAGATTGGAGTGTCACTATTATGATGAGGTAAATATAGGAGTGTCACTGGGGTGAAACAGGGAATATAAGAGTATCAGTGGGTTGATGCGATGGGAGATAAGAGTATCACTGGGGTGACTGAGTGGAGATAGCAGGGTCATATGTTGATGCAGGAGAGTTAGAAGTGTTAGTGGGGTTGTGCAGGGGAGATAGGAGTGGCACCCGGATGATACAGTATTGTAATTGAGGTGATACATGGAAGATAGTGGTGTCCCTATCGTGGTACAGGGAACAACAGGGGTGTCACAGTGTGATACAGAGTAGACAGGGTGTCACGGGGGTAGCACAGGAGTGACATAGGTAAGACAAATAATTGTCATTATAACAACACAGTGGTGATATTTGAGTATCTCAACTGTAATAAGGGATCACATGAAGGTAACACTGAAGGGGTGACCAGTGTGTGATACGAAAAGAGAAGATAACATGGGTGAAACAGAAATGTTGACACTGGAGTGCATCCTGGATAACGCAAGGTGTCACGAGATGCCATGTGGGTAACATAGGTGTGACACGTGGGTAACAGGGGTGACACTTGGTAACACATGTAACACATGCGTAAACACAGGAGGATACATGCGTAAACACACGGGGGGGGGGGGGGGTACATGGGTGACACATGAGTAACACAGGTGTAACATAAGTATGACACATTAATAATACAGGTTTGACACAATAATAGCACTTGTTGCAGTATATTTATCGCATCAAGCGTGTCTGCAGATTTAGCTGCATGTAAACGAATGGGCCACTGGTTGTGACTGAGCATTATTACAGAATATATCATCCACTGCATGTTTTTAGCAAAACCATCGGGCACATTAAATATCTACAGAGCCTGTGCACTGTGTTGAGCTTTTTTGTAGGAAGGTGAAAGGAGCGCTAATAGATTACTGCCCTTGTGCCATGATGTTGATCCGTTGTTCAAACCTCAAACCTCATAACGTTACAGACTGTGAAGTCTAAGCATGTTTCTCCCACTGCCATTGTGTTCAGTATTGTAATTGTTCTCCAACTTCCTAGATTTCTGTTGATCTCTGTTGTTTCACTTGAAAACTTGGCAGCTGTTGATGACTTTAGTAGGCATGCACACGCTGGTTCCCAGCGGTTGACTGAAGCCCAGGTTATATCGACAAGTAACTAAACAAAACAAAAATAATTATTTTTAAGAAGCAAAAATGGCCTTCCCTTTTCATCTGTTGGGGTTTCGAAGATTAGCTATACAGACTGCTCTCTGCTTGGAGATTGGCGAAGTGTATGGGGGTTTAGAGCGAAAGCGAATTATCGTTGCACAGCACAGCAAAGCCTTGGATGTGATACTACCACAGCATCTCGTGTAAGAATGGAGGTGAAGGCGGTCACTGCTACCTTTTGCTAGCTTGACAACCATGTCGTAATTGTAACTGCCTCACTGAGCATCTTGAGAGAAATTGAGACATGTATACTGCATGCTGAGTGCAAGCATCGTTTTTTAAGTTATATAAGATAGTTAGCTTCTTTTGGATATTTTCTTCTGGTGATGCCGGTGTGTTGGGAAACGAACTGACTGGTTCTGCACCAGTGAGTTCATGCATTGGAAGCCAGACGTGGTAAGGGTATTTAAAATAAATAAACAGAGGGGGGAACCATTTGAGCCGTTAAATATTATGAATTAATCAAGTAACAGAAAGTATCGTGAACGGCACTCATAGAAAGAAGTAGAAAGATAGAAGAACGCACTAGACAACATAAAAAGGAGGTACAAAACAACATCACAGTCTAAGGAGACTAAAGCTACGAGAAGTGACAGAGGAATATGGCCGATGCTTAACACTCAAAGAAAAGCTAGACGGACATATATTCAGACCGTTTGTGATGTCATCGGAATTTATGCTCTGCGATTGCTTTCAAAGAGGAGATGGAGCGCTTATTGGATTATCCCGAGAGCTGTGATGTCAATTCTTAATTTAACGTTCAACATTCCAAAGACTGTGAAGACAACACCTTGCAACTAAATTCGATGAAATATAGAAAATCAAATGGTTTTCTCGTCTGGCTGTAATGCATCCACAAAACCTCCAACACAAGCGCTACAGACAAAAGATATGCCAGAGAAAGGGAGCGCCCAGGCAGAAGGTCAACTGCAGACAAAAGATTTGTCAGAGAAGGGCTGCGCCCAGGCAGAAGGTCAACTGCAGACAAAAGATATGCCAGAGAAAGGCTGTGCAGCAGGCAGAAGATCAACAGATTACGTTAGATGTCGCACACCTGCACACCAGCACAGAATGACAGTACCTGTAAAGTGCGGGACTGCAGGCTAGTCCACTTAGGATGCTTACAAGCAATACTGACTTGATCATGCTAATCTTAAACAGCCCAGTGAGCTCCCAGCAGTGTGGTCTCCCAGCAGTGAGGTCTCCCAGAGGTGAGGTCTCCCAGAGGTGAGGTCTTTCAGCGGTGAGGTCTCCCAGCGGTAAGGTCTCCCAGAGGTGAGGTCTCCCAGCAGTGAGGTCTCCCAGCGGTGAGGTCTCCCAGAGGTGAGGTCTCCCAGAGGTGAGGTCTCTCAGCGGTGAGGTCTCTTAGAGGTGAGGTTTCCCAGAGGTGAGGTCTCCCAGAAGTGAGGTCTCTCAGCGGTGAGGTCTCTCAGAGGTGAGGTCTCCCAGAGGTGAGGTCTCTCAGAGGTGAGGTCTCCCAGAGGTGAGGTCTCCCAGAGGTGAGGTCTCCCAGCGGTGAGGTCTCTCAGAGGTGAGGTCTCCCAGCGGTGAGGTCTCTCAGAGGTGAGGTCTCCCAGCGGTGAGGTCTCTCAGACGCGAGGTCTCCCAGCGGTGAGGTCTCCCAGAGGTGAGGTCTCCCAGAGGCGAGGTCTCACAGAGGTGAGGTCTCTCAGCGGTGAGGTCTCCCAGAGGTAAGGTCTCCCTGAGGTGAGGTCTCCCAGCAGTGAGGTCTCACAGCGGTGAGGTCTCCCAGAGGTGAGGTCTCCCAGAGGTGAGGTCTCTCAGCGGTGAGGTCTCCCAGAGGTGAGGTCTCCCAGAGGTGAGGTCTCTCAGCGGTGAGGTCTCTCAGAGGTGAGGTCTCCCAGAGGTGAGGTCTCCCAGCGGTGAGGTCTCCCAGCGGTGAGGTCTCCCAGCGGTGAGGTCTCCCAGCGGTGAGGTCTCCCAGCGGTGAGGTCTCCCAGCGGTGAGGTCTCCCAGCGGTGAGTGCTGATTGGCTACCATCTGTATTAGCTGCTAAAGGCTCAAGTCAAGGGCCCTGTTTATGCCAGTAACGAATGAAGCATATGATGCTAGACACATTTTTGTCATAGACGAATTGGAACTTGAGAGGTGAAGTTATCAACATCACGCCGGTCGCCTGTATGTCCTATTATATTCAAAAAGACATTTTCTCACGCCTGACGACGTATTTGGGCATATTAGTGCTAGAACTATATTTTATAGGGCAATCGGCACTGGGTGGGTAATGTGGTCAGCATCATATCGACTGCGTTTACTTCTCAGGACTGAACCTATTACCCACTCAAGGCTGGGTCAACCTGAGAGGCAAGATCATTTTTGAAGAAGAAAAAAAAACTGACTCCGTCAGGACCCGATCCGACGACCTTCCATGGCTACACCAAGGCGGCTTTCTTCCTGTTATATTGCCTGACATGTGGGTCAGTGTGCACCACAGTCCAGGGTTAGAATAGAACAAAATCTACCGGTTTAAGAGCATCATTGTGAATATCATTAGGATGTTCAAAACGAGGCTGTCAAACTAGTCTGCCTCCAGTTGTCCTAGTTTTTTGTTGACCTCGGCTGTGTATACGCCCCGCTACCTTTTCCGTTGAGTTCTCCATCAGTTTGGGATGTATTTGGTTGAGTCTGCTCTATTCTCTCCGTTAAGATTTCTTTTTCGCATTTCATTTGAACTGAGCACTTTCTGTCGTCAGCTCAACTGCAAGTATCCATGTTTACGTCATCCCTCTGGCAAA